GCGCCGCCGCCTCGCCAGGTGGGCCGTGATCGGCCGCGGGAAAAGAACAACCATCTTTTTATTTTCTTTCTTTCTCTCTCTTTTTTTTCTTTTCTTTAAAAATAAAAAAGACAAGGTAAAATTAACCTACACTTTTGCAGAGACTGAATAAAACCCAAAATAGAAGATAAGAATCGCCTTCCACGCCAGGCACCTGGAGAGATGCACAGGTAACATGTTGATGCTTTTCCTTCCAGTCTTTTCTCAAGGCGCAGGCAGTTTTCTGTTTTAAAATGTATAAAACTGGCGTCGGGCTGTACAGACTGTATGTTGGGTGTTGTCTGTCTTATCGGGCATGAGTGATGAGAATCGTACCGTAATCGGTAAATGTCATTGTCAGCGTGCTTTTTAAAGGTTGTATATTGTTTTGTTTGGGGTTCTTTTAGTTTGTACCGAGGATCGAACTTGGGACCTAGCATTTGTGAGGCAGGTGGCGGCACCACTGAGCTAAATCCCTGGCCCTAAAGGTTGTATACTGTTCCAAGTGTGGATGAACTCAATACATGTAAGCTGTTGGCACACATCTAGTTTATTTGTATAGATGACGCTATACACGTAGTTTTAAATGTATTGATGGTGCTAATGACATTTTAAAAGTTCTAGTGATTTCACACTCTGAACACTGATGACATCTCAGTGTGTCTCTCCCTGAGTTTTTATGTGCATATAACCATAAATGCATGTACTTGTATCTATGGAGATAACATCATGCGTATACATAAGCATGTATGCACCTGAATCTTTAAAACTCCTCCAACACCAAACCAAAACGATCAGTTCTTACAGCAACAAATGCACTGCTGTGTTTTCAAGTCTCAAAGAGCAGCAACCCAGAGAAACAAGAGACTACAGAAAACTTCAAGTGAGTGAGTGTAGACAAAGAGGACCAAGGACAGTACCCAGGGTGTTCCAAGGGTGAGGGCTCAAGAAAGGCCTAGCAATAGACTTTTTTTTTTTGTTTTTTTGTTTTTTTGTTTTTTTGAGACAGGGTCTCGCTATGTAGTTGAGACTGACCTGGAACTCACTATGTAGCCCAGGCTGGTCTCGAACTCACAGCAATCCTCCTGCCTCAGCCTCCCTAGTGCTGGGATTACAGGCATGTGCCACCACGGCCTGGATTCTAGCAATAGACTCTTGAGGAGCACCTGAAGCCGTGGGAGAAACCAGGCCAGTGTGGTGTTCTGGAAGCTAAAGGAGCAAAGTGCAGCTTATTGTCGTTTTAGTGTGTATTTCTTTTTTCACATGTGTATTAGCCATTTGAACCCTGTGGATTTTCTAGTCTTGTATTACCTTCTTTTTTCTCCTTTTTTTTTTTTTTTTTTTTTTTTTTTTTTTTTTTTTTTTTTTTGAGACAGGGTCTAGCTATTTAGTTCAGGCTGACCTTGAACTCACTTTGTACTTCACGCTGGCCTTGAACTCATGGCAATCCTCTTGCCTCAGCCTCCTGAGTGCTGGGACTACAGGTGTTCACCACCACATCCGGCTCTTGTATTTCTTTTTCTTCCTTTTGTATGTGTGTGTGTGTGTGTGTGTGTGTGTGTGTGTGTGAGAGAGAGAGAGAGAGAGAGAGAGAGAGAGAGAGATCATGCCGAGGGGCTTGTGCATGCTCAGCACACACTACCACAGGGCTACACCCCCAGCTTCTGTCCTTTTCTTGGCTTTTAGGAGCTCTTCATACCATACGAACATAATTTTTTGTTAATTCTATTCTGAATGTTTTTCCCAGCTTGCCACTTGTCCTTTAACTGAGTTTAGAGTATCTTTTAGATATGAGAACTTTATAGCCTTCAAGTAGGGTGTCTCTGTCCATTTTTCCCCTGTTGATTCTGAGTTTTGTATCTTACTTAGAGAGTCCTTTCCTATCTCTGAAATATAAAAGGTAATATTCTAATCAAGATCCAGAAGAAAATGTGGGAAACTTTTTCCCATAAAGGCCAAACCCATACTTGGCCCAAGATGGGTGTGTGGACACTGTGCCAAGGTGAATATGCGACCACTTGGCAGAGGACCCTCCTGTTCCTCTTCAGAAAACCAGGCCTGCATTTTAGAGGCTTTACCTGTGTGCACATATGCATCCCTGCATCCCCACCCATCCTGGCTTAGAATCGGTGAGTGTTTGGTGAATGGACTATGATGGACTATTTTCCTCTTCTTTGCAAAGTTTTCTTTAATAAGTGCAGTAGGCCTTTTAAAATGGAAAGGGGGTAACAAAATGAATAGGACAGTGGAAAGCTTGCTGATGGGCATGAAGGACAGGGTTAGGTAGTTGGGATGGATATGAGGTCTGTTGAGAAGTCAGACTGTGTACTTTCTTAGCTGATCTGTCAGAAGGATGTGAGGGATCCCAGGACCTCACAGTGATGGTGGGGAAGAGGTCATTTTACTGGAAGAGGTGCTGTGCACTGCTACAGGCAGCAGGTAGATCAAACATCTGGAAATGGCTATATCAAGCAGCATATGTGCGTGGTTTCTTTTCTGTGCCAGAAGTGACTGTGCCAGTGGTCTCCATGGTGTGGCACCAGGCAAAGTCTGGAAGTAGAAGACACTGTGGGTATGTTGATGGGGGTTGGGGCAAATGATGTTAGCAAGACAGTGGGTATCCAGGCACTGGGGACATCCTGGAGTTCACAAAGAGCAAAGAGTCCCAAAAGAAACATCTCATCTCTTCCCTAAGCCCCCACAGAACATACACTTTGGAAAAAAGCTTTACAAACTGGGCATGGTGGCACACACCTTTGATGTAAGCCCTCTGGAGACTGAGGCAGAAGTATCAGTGTGAGTTCAGGGCCAGCCTGGGCTATATAGTGAATTCAAGGCCAGCCTCAAGACTCTGTCTTTAAAAACAAAACAAAACAAGCTTTATTGAAATATATTTCACATACCACACATTTTTTATTCCCAGTACTGGGGATTAAACTCAGGATCTCGCACTTGCAAGGCGGGTATGGTGCCACTGAGCTAAATCCCCAGAAACATATACCACACATTTAAAGTATATAATTCACAGGCATGAGCAACTACCACCACAGTTGTTTATTTATTTATCAGTACAGGATTGAACCCAGGGCCTTCACAGTGAGCTGCATTCCCAAAACATTTTTTTTTTTTAATTTTGAGACAGGGTCTCACTAATTCACCAAGTTTCCTGGGCTGGGCTCGAACTCGCCATCCTCTTGCCTCAGCCTCCTGGAATACTGGGATTATAGGCCTATATCACCAGACCCAACCACAATCAATTTTAGAACTTTTTCACACCTTAGAAAAAAACTCCATTTCCTTTAGCTGTCACATCCCTCTTCAACACTACCCTAAGCCCAAAGTAACTAAGCTACTTTTTGTCTATACATTTGTTTCCCTACTCTGAACATTAAATATGAATGACATCACATAATTTGTGCATTTTATTTCTGGCTTCTTTCACTTAGCCTCATGTTTTCAAGATTCATGATATAGCATGTATTTGTACTTCATGTTTTTTTTTTATGGCCAGATAATATTCTTTTTTTTTTTTTTTTTTTTTT